GAGGCGTCTGCGATGGTTCGCACGTCCGATACGCTGCGAGCAGGCTACAAGGCAGGCCGTGAGGCAGACTCGTACAATTAGGCAGCACTGAGAGACCTGAGAACAGTCACTTGCACGTAGCGCCGGCATCCAGGGGTATGGACCTGGCAGAGGTAACATCAAACACATAATAGGGGTACACAGGGTCAATTCAAGGGAAATTCATCTCCGGTCTGTCTAAGCAAGTTGCTGCAGGTACCTTCCGCCCATCCCTTGGCTCCGTCAATCGCATTGAACCACCTAAAACCCCTCGCGTCTACTGATTGTACTGTCCAGGGTCAGTAAGACTTGGGTATGATCGGGCGTGTGACTTACGACAACACAGTCATCACACCGCGCACCGTGGACGTGCACCCAGCCGGGGCAGTCGACGCCGTACTTGAATCTGTTGACGCAGGGGTAGCGATCCATCCTTTCGGCTTCGTTCGCCTTCGATCTTGTGCTGGTTCGCGGGTAAGAGTGTAAAGTGTGCTGTCTGTGGTAAAAGTGAGGTTTTGATAGTCTTCGAATTTGGGTATCTCGCCATCAGGACCAGTCCTTTATATGTCTTCCTCCCAGAATGCCTAGGCCATGCCGCAGCTGCCTCAAATGGACACGACCGCAGAGCCAATGCCTCCATTCGCAAGGAGCCACGGTCCGATGCCCAACAGACCGCCCATGCCGGCGGCAACCAGCGGGTACTGCACGGCATGTCCGCGATTGGCCCTTTCCCTGGTCCGCGAATCTCTCGACGGTCAGCCAACACGAATGTTGTCGGGTTCTGCGCTGGCCGTCGCTGCGCAAGACATGAAGTCGGAAGATAGAGCCCTGATTGGTTGGGCCAACGTCTCCCTGTGCATGCCAAAAGCGGGCCGTCTGGGAACGCTAAAACGTGAGATGAGCGCCCCACGTCGTCTGTGCCGTGGCACTGGGGAGGCTGCAAGGACGATGCAAGATTTGTCGTTCCCACTCCCCTCCAAGTTTGTTCGATTAGCTCACCCCAGCATCTCTGTCGTTGCTCACACCTCACCAGTCCAGCATGCGCACCCGCACCCGCACACCCCCTCCTAGCTGGTCCTCGAGCCCCACATACCTGATGTCCGTCACTCTGCAGAGGGGCTCGAGCGCCCCTCGGTCAATGTCACTCGCTCCGGCTGCCCACGCCTGCCCTCAACCCACCCCGCAGGGCTGCCCCGATTGGGCCTCGGCTCGAGATGCCCTAGTCCAGGCTTCGGCGCTGTTGCGAGTGCGCCAGGCCTTCCGCTACTGCGTCCGCAGAACGTCCGCAGAACGTCCTCCGTCAATGCGATGAGCTCGCCGACCTGCCACGTATGCCCTACAGGAAGCCTCGCAAGCCGGTGGTAAGGTCAATTCCGCTCGAATACCATGTTACGCATACTGTCCTCCTCCCCCACCCCAAGTCACAGAGGAAACGCCCAACAGCACGCAAGACGGCTTGAATAGAATTACAGACATGGCTTTGGGCGCAGGATACACTTTGGGGCATGACGCCTTAATTACGCCTGACTTCGGCTAGCGCATCCAAATAGTCCTCTTTATTTCTCTACCGAGTGGTCTCTTACGCATCGAGGCCCACGGAGTCGCATCTCTCCGTCACACGTCTCGCCTACCAGCCGACAAGCGAAGTCGTTTCGGTCCAGCCTCATCAATGAAATCTTCTCTAGATCTCTTCATTCGGGACGCGCTGGCTCGAATAATGTGCCTGCAGTCGTCAGCTTCCGCCTGTCAATTGATGCGACTGACCCTACAGTAACGTCTCCACGCCTTCTTCTCTGTGAAGCATTTGCCAGGTAGAAAGGTATCTATTCGCGCCGCCTGTCACTCTCGGTAAGCTCCATGGGTCTCCAGTCTGGAATGTTCGCGCCACTGTTGATGCGCTGGGTATACGACGCGTCCTTGTGCTTTGAGACACAAGCCCAACTTTCTCCATCAAATGTTTGACCTTCTGTATCATATCTGCATGTTCTCCGGCCAAGGTTTCGTCCGTGGAAGGACTGTCATGGGACTTCGCGGGTGATGCAATTAATCCGCCGCATTGAACGTCGATGGTAGCTTTGGGATTGAGAGACCTGATTCGGTATTCGATTAGCAGACGTCTCATAGAAAGGCCCGGCAACAGCGGTACTTGGAGAGATTTTCAAAGAGGTGTGACGAAAATGTTGCTCCGGTAATGCAAATGCAAACGTAGTCATGCGAAGACTGAACGCCGAGATCCTCTCCGTAACTGTGCTTGTCAGCGACATCAAGTGTGCTATCGATCAACCGACTTACCTGCCATCTACAAAATCCAGGACAAGTGGTTCCCCCCTGGCGCGGAAATTCCCCGTCGCAAATCTGGCGGATTTGTCGCTGATGATAAACCTTCCGGACTTGACCGATTGAAGGTTCCAATCATCGATCGACTGGGTGTCCCAGTATCTTCCGTGACGTTCTAACACGTCAAGGGCCATTTTCTTGCGATCTTCTAGCTCGATGTCACTGCAGACTTCGGGGCCGGAGTCAACGAACATATCTAGGTCAGAAACGCCAGAGTCGAGAGATGAGTTTGTTCCATCGTCAGAACTTGAGGATGCTTCATAGCCATATTGTGAAAACGTTTCGCCGCCATAAGATTGGGGCTCCTTTGCCATGTTGATCAACGAACAGATTCTTTTATCGAGACTGATACGGTCTCGACCAACACCTTTCCAGCTATCGTCGGGACCGCGACGGCTTTATAAGACGCGGCCAGCGGCGCACGGTCTCGTCATCCCGTTCTCCAGTATGTAATCAGGTGGGCCTCGATCGTCCATTGCTAGGTCCGGGCTGCCCAGGCACTGGAGGTGCCCAAGAACAATGCCTTGGCCACGTTGAGCTGCTTTCAGGGGTCTTCGGAGCCAAACCACACCTGGCAAGCAGTTTTCACCGCATTCAGGGCATTTTCCGTCAGCCTGTCTTACTCGAAAGTGGTGTCGGCAACCCATGCTCGCCGCTCATACATCCTGTCGGCCGGTGCGGTATCTTGAGCGCCACAGACGAGTAGCAAAGTACGAGAGACCGGCCGCTTCATACGTGGGGCCTCTGATTGAATTCCTGATCCATCAAGTCATCACCTTTGAAGTTCGGCTAACCATCGTTTCTCCCGGTACACCTTGTCGTTCCATCGCCGCTGACACTTCACACTTGACGCCAAGAGCTGCTTCGATGAGAACTAAATCATGTTTCGGGTCGTACGTAGCACCTTCTCTATCGTTTCCGGCGTCCCTTCGTCGGGGCAGTCTTGCAAAGGAGTTCACACTGTGGTGGCTTAGACGATACAATTTAACCCACAGCTATCGCGAGACCTTGGAACGTGATGTGTGATGTACGCAAGCAATTGCTAAGGAGTGTAACATTCTCAGATGTCACGATGACACGGTGCATCACTTGCATGCGAGACAAATATTGGCAGCTTCGTGTAATGCGATTGTGTGCGGAGCGTTTATTGCTAGGTGCCTTTCTGTAATCGTGGTTTGGAGATGCCATACTTCGCGAACCCACAGGCGACTAACCACTAATACTTGCCCCGCAATTATCTCTCCAGCCCTTCAATTACAAAGCGAAGACACAGATAGTACTTCGGAATACCGTGTTGCCACTATGCAATAGCTTGAAGACGATCAGCTTCAGATCTTTTGCCGAATTACGAGGAGAAACCGACCAGTTGCAATATGCATGAAAAGAAGGGTGTGAGATTTCTGATTTCGCTGCTTCCACAAGCTTGTCATCCAGTCTAAGTCGCGCTGGCGTCTCGCGCCCGATGGGTACATTTGCTTCTATAAACTGGATCATCGTCGATGCGAGCCAATCTCCCAGCAAAGGCTTGTTCTTGTCCGGGTGATGTTTGATTGGAAGCTTGTGGGTGGTAAGCGTTGTTTTCATACCAAGATTCTGGATATCTTGCTCGATGTTGGAGGAAACGCTACCGATCGGTTCTTCTGGTGTTTCTGAAGGTTCGTACAAGATCCGAGATAGTTTCAGGAGAGCGGATGTTTCGGGCAGGCTACCCTCGTCGGTGAAAGGAATCATCTCAACTACTTCTATGTTGAGCACACCTGCAGTTGCAAGGCAACTTTGCACGTTCCTGAGATATTCTGGCCAGTTTTCTATGTACCCGATCACTCGAGAATGAATCAGATCATACTTTCGCTCCTTCCACATCATGTTCGGGTCGACTTCAAGATAGATGTCATCGTCGAGCGAGTCTCTGCAGGATTGTCAGTTCTGTTCTTTTGGCGGACCTCTTCAACATACAGCCGGGGATGGAGCTGAGGGTCACGATATCCTATAAATTGTGCATTCTCAAGTCCGTTGGAAGCCCTCATATCGGCGGCTCGAGTCAGCCAAATCGCGCTGTTCGTTGGGAAGTCTGCGACAAGTTTGACTTCCGGCACTGAAGACCAAGATTGAGGTCCGAGACCAATTTCTAGAGTATGGTTTAGCAGGTCCCATGCTTTCGCGAGGGTGTCCTGTCCCAGCTGTCAGCGTGAGAGCGAAGGGGGTAGGGGTGCCCGGAATGGGTCGCACATTTTTCGGGTACTGTCGTGTAGCAGATGGTACAGCCATTGCGAAGCCTGGCACCGAATTGCTTTTAGATAAAGGAAGCAAGAACAAATGACAAGGCGCTCGATCTTGTGCACAGTCGTTTCAGGCAAGCTTTTTATGTCTTGCAAGCCCGGCAAGCCTTTAAATTCTCCTTCATGAACATGAGGAAAATCATGAGCTATGAGATTCTTCAGACCCTTGCAGGCGGTCCCACAGGTGCTCGGCGTCATGTGATGAAAATTACAACGCTTTCCCTGATCGATGAGGCTTTTCTACAGGGGATATCTCGAAGGCCTGGAAATCAGGTTCGTCGGCTCTTCGCTCGGCCTACGCATGAACTCCGTCGCAATCTCGCAATCCGGGGGTTCCAACGGCTGTTGGAAAGCTACCCTCCAAGGTCGCAAGAGAAATGGCATAAGGAATCGAAGCATCTAATTACAAAGGCCCTAGGTTCCACTGAGAAAGCAACCGGGGTAATCAAAAGCCTAGATTTGTTTCTGGTCACAGCTACAGCCCTCGCAGTTTGAACTGGTGGAAATTCCTGAGTCGAAGCTGCGAAACCCTCTGCGTAGTCGCGCGCTCACCGAGCTCCTGCTGGGGCGCGGACCCAATCATGAGTGGATGAACCATCGTCTCAACACCAGACATTGAGCACCAACCAAATACTTCGAGAGTCAAATGACAATCGCGTTCTGAACGAATTGTCTCAATTCAGACAACCACTTCCGCTTCAAAGCTCTCTTTGCTGGGAAAGGTACAATCCGCTTGTGTGCCATCCGTGGTATGCACTTACCACATTCAGCTTAGTGAACTAATGATCCAGGCCGACCGCAGGAGTTACAATTTTTGTGGATTGTAGCGCATAGCAGTGGGATTATGGACAGGAAAGGAGGTGTGTCACTTTGGAGCATGCCTGACTGACCCAAAGCAAGCGTTGGCAACGGGTGCGGTGCGACGCCAACCATCTTTCCCTTCTTCCCCTCTTCATCAAGCTCTTGGCAGGATCTCGAGCCATATCCTTCCTAGTAACTGACTGGATCTTTGAACGTGGTCTAGGTTGCTTCTATAGCGATACTCATTCACAATATTTCACGTGTCGTAAGGATCTCCGCGTTCAACTGCCCCTAGCTCTCCACCAAGTTCCCATACGCGGCCCTGTTGCGACTCAACGGACGAAAGAGGCCGCTTGGGCATTTGCAGTCGCACGCGGCTTTTCGGTTCATGAGTCGTAACGATAAGAGAGGGGTTTCCGCCGTCGGGCTAGTCTCGGTCTTGCTGAATCCCTTCCAAGCTCTCATTTGGGTAAGGATATTGTTTCCTCGTGCAATGTGCAGCAACCAGCAGGGGGTTTCCCATGCAACAGTCTAGCTAGAGCATTCCAGGCTTTCACTTTGAATCTCGTTTGCGGCCTTTGGCCACACCTGGTTCTCGAAATGGTCAGAGAACCCGATCAGTCTACGGGCGTCCTTTGCGCTCGCTCTGTGTGGATCGCTAGCGACAGGTTACCCAACTCCCTAAGGCTTAGCTGAAGCGGGGAGACCGGCCGCCATGGACGTAAGATTCGAAAAGAGCAATACGTGGCTTTCCACACAGCTCTGGTGCCCAATCTTCAACAGAAGCTAGAAGTCCGGACTCATTGTCCAAGATTGCCGCATTCCCCCCCCCCCCCTTTCCCCTGGTTAATGGTAAAGGCTCTGGGTCTCAGATATAAGCCTATCCCGCTGAAAATACACCCTGTAGCCTGGGAAGTTAATTTGTGACAGCCCATAGAGTATAGCCGAGTCAGGCTTTGCCTCGGCTGTTGTCGCCGAACCTATTGTTGAGGAAACCGCACAGCCAGCTCACCATGTCTAGAGGTCGTGCTAAAGGCGTCTTAATGCGTCCCGCGTACCAGGTTAGTACAGGTCGCCAACAGGCGTGAGCAGGAACGACGACCTCATTCAACCTTACCGGGTTGTCGACGGATGGCCCATACAAGTCAGGCACCGAGCGTTCATACAGCACGCGGAAGTCACATGCGCTTATCACAGCCTGCCTCTTCATCAGGTTTGTCATCTTCTATACGAAGAAGTGTCTTACTCGCTGTTCCCGTCGTCGTTGGCGTTTCTTTGACGTTCCGTTGTGACACCGACTGCGACTTCAACTGGATAAGTGGGCGGACTTTGGCCGCCTCGACATTTCTGTTCGATGCGTCGCCTGACCGGAGATATTGCGGAAGCAAGAAGCGAACGTGTATCATAAACAGGTTTTTTAGGGCTGGAGTAGGCCATCCCTTATCTGGCAGAAAGAAAGGGGCGAGAAATCGTGGTGTTGAATTTTAACGGGCGCCTCAAAGATCCTGCGCAGATGCGGCGGCAACAGCGTACCCCAGCTCCTGTGGGATGTCGTATAGGCTGTAGCTGACGATGCCTTTGAGCGCATGGCGAATAGGGCACGATCTTCGGGGCGCATCACAACAGCACCATGTACTATACCTTTCTTTCATAATGCGTGCATAGTCCCGCGTCGTCGAACGCATCATGCCTTCATTTGCCGAAGGCCACAGATCCTCGCCTCAAGCCTGCTGCTAACAATGGATCCAGTTGTTCGAGTCACTACACGCTGCCCAGATTGCTGTGTGGCTAGATGTGGACTGTCAGGGGGGGTCTAGGTCATTGTACACTGCGCCAAGTTTATGCGCGCAAATGCAGAGAGATCGTAGTCGCTAGACATCGAGTAATGGCTACTTCACCGCGTTTACAGGCAGTGGTTAGATCAATTTGTAGTATACAATGTTGTCAAACTTCTCAAAGTGACTGCCATCGGATACGCCATTCGTCATTGGGTTGTCTATCAAACGATGGCTGAGAATAATGAAGACCAGTCGGCGCCCCTACGAGCTACTTTTACGGTCACCCTGACTGCAGGTCTTAGTTAGCGCCAATTATGAACGTGATTTTGAGACAAGCGAAGGTTGGCTCATATTGAACGTCCCCTGGAGCAGCCGGACTAGAGACACGGTAAGATGGGAAGTTGTCTAAAACAAGACACATTGCCCGGCCTCACTGCATGCATGCCTTTCATTTGGTCCGACTCCTCATTATTATGATGGCACAGCCTGGTCACTCTGGTCAAACACTTCAAACAATCCCAGCTCATGGAAGTCGCCGGATTGGCACGTCGCCTTCACGAAACGCAGCGACATGTGGTAAGAATGGTGACTGAGGGGACTATGAGTGGTGCCACCGCGAAACCAATCACATCATTTTCTTCAGCCTGGCTATCCAGTCATTCCATTGGCCACCACCCACCAGTGGCCACGAGAGTCGGGCCCAGTAAGTGATGGCTCCCAACAAATCCCGCCCTCGACTCCATAGTGCTCAGGATGCGATCGACCATGTCCGTGGAAGCCACGCTCTTCATGTATCCAGACTGCGTGATACCTACAAGTGCCGAATCCTGAAATCTCATTCGACACTGTGCTGCGCTGTTTCGAAAATGCCTGTGGTTTCGAGACCCAGCGAGTCCGCAGCTTTTGCCATGCTAGCGATGCCCTCCATTTAACATGCAACCGACGAAAACAGGATGGGCGTGCTACATTGCGATGCCCGACCGACACCACCACTTCGATAAGTGAGTCATGGCAAAGGACGACGACCTGCGTGTATTAGAGAAATCTCCAGTGACGAAGGATAGTACTCTGAACGTTACCTTGGTCGTATTTACGGATAAGATTGAGTCTGGTTTCTGCTCGGGGCTTTTGCTGTCATGCTCAAGCCAGCGAAGCAAACTACTAGTATTGTCGTCCATGGGTATCAGCAAGGATCATCTCATATGAGATTTAGGAGTCTTCCCGTTGACGGAGGGAGGCGATGGCTCAGCTCACAGTATCGGAGCGGGTAAAGGGCCTCGTAAGGATGAACAATCTGATCGCCACCATATCCTAGCAGTCCGCAAACAGTACTGTGGTGTCCTGTGAATTGAGTTTAACCATGGATGGACTCGCCTCGGCCCCGCGCGGTTTGTGACGAGAAACCAATGTTGACCGCCCCAGCGTGAGGACAGGCACATTTAAGTGTTGCTCAACAGCCATTTGATGGTATTGATGTACGATTTACAATCTAGCAGAAACTGCCGACCGCCGATCGCAGCTCTACTCTGAACCTTGAGACGCAAGACCAACGTCAGAGGTGACACACAAAGCTTTCTTTCAAAAGGACTAATTATTAAAGCCCTCAGCCTTACAGCCACGATATGTATAAAGTTTTCGGATTACAATGATGCGTTTCACTGGCTTTAACGATGGTGGTTTTGCATCCGAGTGCACACAAAGCCTTCCAGAACGAGATCGGCTCCTTATCTACGAAGCCTCCCCATCGCCGCCAAATGTGCCTGGGAAACTCAATTAATTTGGTCGTTTTTGCTATTCTATTTAGTCCAATCACGCTTGCGACGAGAAACTGTTCTTACCGTTCGATCATACTCTCCCATACAACTGGGGCAGATGGTTTGCATTCCCCGCAGACTTCATCGCCGCGGTATTCGATATGCGTAACGTAAAGCGGGCACCGTTTTTGTGTTCTTGTGTAGACTGGACAACATCGCGACACAATCCACCGGATATGACTGCAGTGGAATTCGCGCTGTGTATAGTTGCACATCCCCGTCGTATTCAGCTGGATGAGTGTCGACAGCTGCTAGATCGTTGTGCAGGGGGATGTGGGATGAATACATGTAATATAATGCGTGCGGAGATGAGATTACCCACGCGAGCGTTTAATCGCCCGCCGGTTCATCGTTCCAATGATTGGCTTTAGACTGTATCGAGACCTGGGCCCTCGTATAGAGCTGAACGACTGGATGATCAAAGTGGCAGACGATCGCGCCCTACTAATGCGAACGTGCATGCCTCCCACGGAAATAGATCGCCTCCGTCCAATGACGTTAGCTCGACATGCAATAGCCCAGATGTAAAGAGATGACGGTGCTATGAAGAGCTGCTTCTGACCGAGTTCTTAACCACATCGGGCTCTCTACATGCAAGAGAGTTGCATTAACGTCTACGCCATAGTGAGCGAAAGCACAGGGCCATATCACATCGCAGCAAGTTTACCAGCGCTCCGCGCGGCTCGAGATGGTGATGGTGTGGCGGCAATGACAACTCCTTACGGAACTGCTGGCATGGTCGCTATGATGGGAAAACAGGAGAAGAAACAAGGGAAGTCGCATAACACGCCTATGTATGCAGCACACATGCGCTCTAGATGAAATGTATGCAATCCCACTACATTGCAGGATAGAACGTCGCCATCGCCTGTCGCAATGCAACAGCGCATCCCAATTGCACGCTAGTGTTGGAGTGACACGCACCCTGAATTCAATAGAGCCCGCATCGATCTAGACGGCCGCTCCTAACCTCCATCGCACAGGCTTGCGGCCATGTTCCCCTGTTCCTCCATCGGCCGTAAAGCAAGCCCCGTTCGGCTCTCCACTGCATTCTACAAGCTCCATCGCCTCGGTCCATGAATTGTTGCCAGATCAGAATCATCTCATGCCTTGTCAGGTGATCATGCTATGTCGGGCTTCATGCTATCTAAATTGAGTGTTGGGAGTAATATCTTTCGAGCTGTGCGAGATAGGTCTGGGGGGCCCATGACTGCCAATGCATTGAGCTATACGACAATCCCCGTTTTGCTGTTTTTCCCTTCTTTCACTTTACATTGCATTCTTGACATTGCCCTGCTTGAAGATGCTCAAGAGCGACCATACCAGTCACCTTGTCGTTCAGTGTTGAGATCAGTGGGAGCACCGTGGGCTCCGCCTTGAGCAAGGGTTTTTGATGATCTGTGCACGCCTACTCCACATTATTATGGTCACCCTACATCAACTCAAAGCAGAGGCCACCGGATGCATCCCCTTTGCATCGCTGGACTGACTGTTCCACTCTGACCCGCGATCTGCAAGGGGCCCTTCAAAGTGCCCCGCGTCTGGTGCACTTCCTCGCCGGTCTTGGTTGAGGTGCACCGGGGCGCATCGCACTGGACGATCTTGAAGCCCTTGACCATCCATGAAACATTTCCTGCAGCTAAAGCTACGGTCTTGCTGCTGCTTTGCGTGCAGAGGGAAGTACCCCCAAGCGGGTGAAAAGTAAACGTGGCAGACCATCAATCGCCAAATCGCCCGATGTTAGCAGCCATGGAGCAATATCGGAAGAGTCACTGCCAAGAAAGCTTTGTAAGATCAACACCTGAAGCGATTGAGCTCTCTCGGTCCAACACACCTGAAAGATTGCTACAATTGAACGACTAGAGCGGATGGTATCTGTGTTTGTTGATCAACGTCAGCCTGCTCTTCACGAACCTCTTCTGTCAACATTTCTGGCCATTGTGTTACTAGAAGCCCCTTAGCCTGTCCCAGGTAGAGGCAACGCAAGACACGGCAATAACGACGCCAGGGTTGCCTCACATACTCCTTCTCCGTGGTAATCACTCAACGTTGATGCAAGCTGTTAATCGCGAAGGACGAGATCGCCAAAGGCCCATGTTTGGGAGTCTATCGAAGGCTCGGCATCACGGAGGTATCGTCCCTCACGCATTATTTGAGTGTGCATGTTTATCCTGCTCTTGCATCGGCGTGCATAGGCATGGCTACTTGCTCCCCGACACCCACAAGTCGCCTTACTGGCTCTGGTCCATTGTTCTGTATCTGATCTAATGCTACTGGAAATATTTGCCCGAGTCCACGCCTATCACCGGACTGCTCAACCTGAACGATTTCGGAATCTTACGAGGTTCGCCATGGCGGGAAAGGGTGAAAAGAGGCTGCGTCTTCGCACCCCAGGGGTAGAATGCTGCTGCTGGTCCCTGAGACATCCTGCATGGGTGTGCACTGCGGCTCGTCTACCCGGCTTCGGTCAACGCGTCCTGTGCCACCAATTAAACTTCCAGAAACTTGGGGAATGGGCATCTTGACCCCTCACGGAGGGACGAACGGACCCCCAAATCTGAACAAGCATGACGCGTGACATTGGACCCGTATTTCCGCGCAAGCCTTGCTGCTTCGTGGAGTTGAACAATCCATTCCGCGTGACATGACAGAGCAGGATCGGCGGGGAACAAGAAGTGTTCCTAATCCTGGGACATGATGATCCTGCACCACATGATTACCTACTATGTATGTATGTAGGTGTGAGCTGGACTGATGCCTCCCTGCATGGGAAAGGCGCCCCAGCTGCGCTATACCCAAACCAGACGGAGGAGGTGCCCTCCGTCCGAGTTCAGCTTAGCCTACGCAAGCCGTCCTCTTCGCAAGCGCTTGCCACACGCTAATCATACATGGACAGAAGACACATCCTCCGTCCTAATCTAGACTAGTAACCCTGATATGCTGTCTTCGCCGTACTCTCCACGTGCTAACCTCTTCAGGACGGAGGCGACCTCCTCCGTCTAAGAATGGCAAAGCGCATGCATCAGGCTCACCCCCTTATCGGCTCCGCTGACTCCTCGATGAGCTGCTGAGTCAGCGACGCGTACGAATACAACTCCCAGGAACATTCTCCCGCCCTAGATTTTCATAGCGCTGCGGCCCGCCCCTGCCTATGCTAACTTGACCCACGCGACTTGTCGTCTCACCTAGCGGCCTCGCGAGGCGGAATTGACAGCTGCCTTCTTTCCATCGACACAGTCTCCGTCTGCGTATCAACTCATGTGACAGCGTTGCGGCACAATGACTGACGTGCAACGGGTTACAAGCCTTCAGATACAGGTTCGAGACTTACGGCGCACGATTGAGGAGCACCAATGTGGACTATGCGGTGATACATCCTTCCAGCGCACGGCAATCGCATCAATCGACTATATCGATTCCCTCGTTGCCAGCCTTGCCCAGAAGCTACCTTCGCAACGGGGCCAATCATCCGTTGTGGTTAAGTCCTCCTATCCTGGCGTGTCTTGCTTTCCAGTCTTCCAATCCCAGCCACTAGTCGCCGAAGACACGACCTGGAGAGCTTTGCCGAGTAACGGAACGACAGGACTCCTCGCGACATTCTGCAACAGCGTCCCAAAGGATTTCAACGCTTGGAGGGAAAAGAGGCACAGTCTCGGTATCACATCCACAGACGGCATTCAGGTGGCTTTCCGTAATCTCGTCGTACCAAATGGCAAGCCGACACCGTTATCGACGCCTGCCGACCCGGACGCTGTCATCCAGCAATACGCGGAAAGCACGAGCGGAGACAGTAATTGGCGACATGCTGGGTTGTCTACGATGGAGGACCTCGTCTTCCTCGGAGAGTGTCGCGTAGCTATAGAGCTTGGCATTGGCGTGGAAAAGGTGGATGAGGTTATCGAACAGTATCTGTGCTCCAAGATGTGCCCGAAGACATTGCATCAGTACCGGGATGTGCCGTTGAAAGTTTCAAATTGGATGGGCCAACTGTATGACCATTGCGGGTGTGTCGGCTTCGAGCTATTTCTCCACGGTTCGCATCCCAAGTGAGTACAGATTGGATTACTGCTGACGGGCGGCTCAGCCGACAGGACCATCCCCAGCTACTCCGCTTTAGCAAGATCTCCTGACATCAAGACTGCCTTCCTTGAACGGGTGCGGCCGCTGATACCGACCGAGTTGTGCGAGAAAGACGCCCCGCCTCGTCTGGCGTTCTATCTACCCTTCCTTGTCTGGGCCAGCATCCTCCTCAGGTTGGAGGAAGACCGCTTTGACGATGTCTGCCGTGCCTTTCCGACGAACAAATTCGAACATTCCGACTTTGAGCAATGTCTCTCGTTCCTCAGCGAAGGCCATCCCCAGGTCCCTCGCACCCCAGAACAGCCGGCATGCAGTGATCGCACTGTTGAGATCGACATCGCCAGTTCCAAGTCTACGCGCCGCAAACGCTCCGCGTCCGGTATCCGAAAGCGGAATCCAGGCTGTCCTCACACTCCTCCGACTTGCCTCCCACCCGAATCAGCCGTGCCGCACCACATGGAGCTGCAATTCCGCACGGGAGGAAGCGCGTACCGGAGCTCGGACGCACAGGGGCTCGGCCACCAGCGTCTCAATACCGTGAATGTCTCACACAGCGAAGGAGGGCAACAGCTTCCCCTACGCTGCGATAACATCGCTCACTCTTCTGCGCATACAGCCTTCTCCAAGCATCCAACGCCGTGCAACCATGGATCGCTCAGCATCGGCCATGGACCGCCGGAGCAGTTGATGGAGCGACCAGAGTTCCATTACCTTCCCAGTTATGCGCAGGCTGCAGGCGACGTCGAGTTCTCTGTGGCTCGTTACGGCCTCGGCCGACCGGATGTGGGCCTAGGCGACACCATGGACATTGAATTTCCCGGGGCCGCCGCACTGGCCTGGACTCTGGAGGGCATTCCCAACCAGGACTCGGTAGACACGGGCGCGTTGGGCATGGGTGCGGCTGTAGATACGGTCTGGGTTGAGATGAACATCGGTTCGGGACAGATAGGCGGCGTCCGACAGTGCCTTACATTGTGAGCAGGAAGGGCTGCTGGAGTCTTGGCTGAAGCATCTGGCTCAATTGAATCATGATCATATTAATGTCACACTTTCGAGAGCGTATCGAAACGCCTTCGCGTAACTGATACCCAAAGCCGGGACCCCATGCTTCATCGCACGACAGATCTTTGTTATTTGCAGGTATGAAATCGACGGTAGTCTCTAGGCCGCCGATCGGAATGAGAATGTCCGTGACGCCCAACGAAGGGTCTGAAGTTGACGTAGACGTGATAGAGCTGCCGGCACTCAGCGAGACCGCTCGTCTCGTTGATCGCACGCGACCACACCGAAGGAGTAGTTTCACTGTCGCACCCTTCCAGCCATTCGGTCAGCCTTACGTCTCAACGGAGACTGTATCTACTCACACGCTGGTCCACTACTAGCTTACACGCTTCGCCAAGCGGTGGTCGCCAGTCGTAACAGACGTCATGCGCGCCTGACACAACTCCTTGCTCTTCATGCCGTGGGAAGTGTTTTTCGAAGGTTAGAGCCTTTTCTGATTCCATCGCCAGTTTACTTGCCTCGGGAGTCAGCATGAAGCGTTCGAAGTTCTTGCCGTCCATCTTGAATTCGCATAGACCGAGTGGGACGACCTCTTGGGCCGCCTTGTCAGGCGAGGAGCAAGTGATCGGAATTTTCGTGGCATTGATGAGATTGGCGTCAAGCGGGGTGGACCCGTGGTGGAGTCGGAGCGGAGTAATGACCATCAGTTCCTGATATCCGAATGCGAAAGGCAGCGACGATAAGAATTGACACAACAATCTTTACGAGGCAGACGATATGAAAAACACCAACAGCAGCGAGAACGAAACTTTTGAAAACAGCACCAAAGTTATCAAAGTCAACCCGCTCGCGCTTGCGGAGGTCGCTTCGGGTGCAATGTCAGCCTCGGCATTGATTCTGCGTCCAAAGGGCCTGCTCGTGGCGGCAAGCAGGCTCTGATCACGAAAAATTCGAGAGCAAGCCATAAAGCACGACGTGTCGACGGACAACACCATCGCTGCCTCCACTGGTGGTTCATGGGTTGTCACGCAAAGCACAAGGACCGCGCCCAAACACGATTCAACACAACAGCCACCGACAGGTTATGGGTCGCCTATCACCCTGGACAAACTTTGCAACATTTTGCGACAGCAACGACGAGCCTGACAGGACGGTATCACCTCCTGCATAGAGAAAGCACCAGACATCAGGCATCCTACGGTCGATGCCGCAAAATACTACTGATTACAGACAGATTGGTTGCCTGTCGCCCCCTCCGCGAAGAAGGCTTGTCGCCCCTTCAACGTACAACAATGTCTACAAAACCCGTGCACGAGCTCTCATATTCAGTAATTAGACGAGTCGAAGCGGCTGGAGCATTGTGTTTCGCCAATCGAGCCTGGTTCCGGGCTGTGCACGGCGGTGGTGGTCGAAAGATGGAAACACAGAGCCACATAGGAACCCGGCAGGAGGCAGCAAAAAGGTTACAGATTCAACTGAGATACGATACATGCGAGTCTGAGAGGATGCGGACAAGAAGAACAAGCGATGCTAAGCGCCGGCGGCAGGCTGTAGGTACGCGGAACCAGACATGTTTGTTACCACCAACAGAGCCGAAGCAGTAAGATACGGAGAGTGAATCCTGAGGCAAGGAAAGCAGTCACGACAGAAGAAACGCAATGCAGCAAGAAGATACTCTTCAAAACAGGGATTCAACACGAGGATAGACAATGGAGCGAGGAATTCGGAGATAGCTGGCCTTGATTCAACGGCAGGGCGAAGTAGGGTGTCGTGACTTGTCGTGGGCGCGTCGGCTAATGGCCAAACCTTGCTTTCCGGGCATAGCTGCTGACTCGAGCGGACGAAACCGAGTAGGATATCATGTAATCAAATCAGATTGAGGCAAACGACGTCGTGTGCGCCCCGATCCGAACGAACATCCGCACCAAACTCAGGCCGCCTTCAGCCAGCAGCCGATGAGTAGTATCGCGAGAAACGAAGCGTTGAGAAACCATTCAACGACAAGCTTTGGAAACGACTCGTTCTCCAAGTCGCGACTATCCGTGGGCGAGCTGCCCAGCGACGAGACCTACCGTACGGATCGACAAGTGGACGCCAGGCCTGGCACAGCCGATGGCAACGGACTTAACCAAATATCTTGCCGGAGCCCTTAAATTCTATGCCATATCGATACCGGTGTCAGAGATAGACAAGGATCTTTATGGGACACGATTAGGCATGCGCCGACCTCGTGAATATTGTTCTCGTCTGCTTGCTCGAAGAACCAAGAAAGGCACCCTTGTGCATTGCCACACGACTGCTCGCTAAGTCACGGCATGGACGGGGCTTTGGATGCCAGTCACGCGACTGCACCAAAGCTGCCGGCGGTGCGCTCATGGTGCGCCGTGGTTGTGAAGGCCAGTCATAAGTACGCATCCTGGCTGACAAATTGAGCGGTGTCCTGGAGGAGGAAGAGGGAGTGAAGGTTGCCGGACGCAGATACACTGGCCCGGCACCGGAACTACGCAGACGAATGCACTTCAGCTCTGGAAAGGAACATCTATCAGGCAAGGGGGCCCGGGCATGAAGTAACTCGATAGTGAATGGTTGCTAATACGCAATCTGTAGAAAATAGACGTAATAGTCATCACCCTAGCAGGTGCTCGTTCAACGCCAGCTCTCTCGGCCAACGGCCAGAGGTGAATTGCGTGTGCGCGAAGTCATGTTGTTCTGTCTGCTGAAGGACCTAGGGGCTACTTCCGCAGGCTTTCCTGACCACCGTTACCGTCTCTTCCACCTTTCCAACACCACGGGAGCCTGGCGAAGATTAGCAGCAGCACCGCGAAGTTCGAGTTTGCAAATGTACCTTTGGGTTCGTTCAGTTCATAATTCAATGCACTCTACCTCGCCAGGAATGTCACCAGACGATGTATTCGTGGATGGATCTACTTCGGACATGTTGCGGCTTTTGAAGATGGTAGAAAAAGCTCAATTGTCTATGTAACTGGCGTATGTTGATATTAGTATGAAATTGAGAAGTGAATGTCGCAGCTGTATGGGTGTTAGCAGAACCAGATAACCAAATGATCTTTTATAGCTCGAGCTTTGTGTTGAGAGCATAGAAAGTTGCCTAGCACAGAGAAGCCGTCGTCCGGATTCCACAGCTAAATGCAATAGGTGGCCGTCAAACCTGGCCGCAGCATGTTGCATGAGGCGTCGTGCCAATCCCTGTAATCCTGTACGTCGTCAGCGTGGGAAGATCGCCCAGCAAGACCATGAGGTCTATGTTTCTCTCTGGGAAAGTGTATTGGTTCTATTCAGCGGCCAAGGAGGAACAGCCGGGGATTGAGGTTGGCCGTCCCGTATGGAGGATGACAGCGCACGCCAAAGTCCACCGTGCGGCTGCTTTCCCACGGGGGCTTCCACAGATACGACCATGGCTTGCGCCTGGGTAGCCATCAGCTTTGAATGCTGGATAGTATAATCGGCGTCAGTCTCTGACCAATTGTCGGCTGCTCTAAACATGTCAGAAACATGGCTGGGGTTTCCATTGTAGCCGCTGTTCTGTTTGACCCAGCATGATCCAATGTAGTTTACACGACCACCAATAACGCCGTCCGCCTGTTTTTGCAACTCAAGTATAACGATGATCGACACTGGTATGGTTTACCGGTCTTTGATGTGTACCGAATGCCACCTGTGAGGGTGACCGTCCGCCAACTTTGAGCCACTGCGTATACAGAGCCGACAAAACGATCCCCACAATCATTGACAGGGCATCGTCACACCCAGTATGAGGGTAATCTACAGGGACAATCGACAATGAGCCTCTCGTGCGGTCAGAGTGCCATGATGTTAAGACTGAGCCTCATCAGCGGCGCGCCACTGAAGATGATGAAAGCCGCCGAATGATGTCTATTTTGTTATCGGAGAAAAGACCTAGTAGGTGTTTGATCAGAGGCAGGTATTGAATTGCCACAGATTCCTGGCAATCTAGTTAAAAGTGGTCATCGTTATTGGCAAGCTGAGCTTTACAACAGCTGGGATATTAACGATATACTATGGGTATTAGTTCATAGTCATATTTTGGCTGTCTTACGATTTCTGCATCGTTGCTGATTTTGCAAGGGCGCAAATATTGCGCTAATGTCAAAGCTGCATCAACGCAAAGTCTACATGACTACAACATTTGCAATAATGTAGCAGTCGCATGGCCGCAATCTATGCAGTTATGGAAAATCTACATGGCTGCGAAATCTGCATAGCTGCAAAGTCTGCTTGACTGCAAAATCCACATGGATGCAAAATCTGCAATAATGTAAGAATGCAAAATTTGCAGTCATGCGACCTTTGTGTCGTTCCCGATCCTACGCCGTTCCCGATCCTACGCCGTTCCCGATCCTACGCCGTTCCCGATCCTACGCCGTTCTAGATCCTGCGCCCTTACAAAGTCTGCATGGCTACAAAATCTGCATGGTTGCAAACTCTACATCACTGCAAGTTCAGCAATCCAAACAACCTACGACATGGAATCTTGGCGACTGCTGTCTGTTGCTACGCTCGAAATTCACGAAGAGAGCCGACCCGGTACCATGTGTAAGTTCGTCATGGACAATCGAGACAGCATCTTTAGCATGCTAGCATTTCATGAATGCGCAGCCATTGCCCTGTGTGTCAAGAAACGCGATTTCGATACGCTACGCCTTGATGGCGAAGACTCTCTACGGGAAGATCGTGATGAGGTGATCAAAGTCCTGGCCACGCGTGCTGTTCAGCGATTTGGCAAGGATCCTGTGCGATCGGATCCCCTATTAAGGAGCCTAGCTAGAATGGCACTTCCGCTGCGACCGATGCATCGTTGTCGCGTCCTACTTGGTGAGTCTTCTTATTAAATCATCACCGAAGATGGAAAGCTTTTTGACTTCGTTTGACGTGACAGAAGCGGCACTATACTACGCCCAGCGTCTCACAGGCGAAACAGAAGAGGAAGAATGGCAGAAACTTTGCAGCGTACAGCTGGCTACATTTCAGTCATCCGATGCGATTCCCCGCGCTGAACCGCGCAAAAGGAGACGCGAAGAGGATTTCGCATCTCGTGAGCGGTCGAAGAAAAGACGAGGAGAAATTGCCCAACCCTTAGCTGCAAAAATGCCGGATGTCCAGGCGATCCCTAATTTCATCGGCACGTTTCTCTTCGTTGGACTCACGAGATCCAGTGTACGGCAAAAGGATATAAATGTTGCGATGACTGCAGCATTCGAGATGCATTTTGCTCCACAAGCATTTCAAGACTTTACCCTGCTGTTAACTATCGACAAGGACACCGGCGAAATTCTGCGGGAGGCGTTATCGTGGCCACTCGATAAGTTGGAGATCTACTTGGGCAGGTGGCTGACTGACGCTGTGAGGGCTGCGGCAGATAGTGACGTCCGGTTTCTCTACCCACACGATAACAATGAAGACATGATACTTGAACTAGGATTAGGCTTTCAGCATGGAAGAGAGATGAGCCATGCAGTTTTTCCGATGCGGTAGAAAGTACGCAAGATCGCTGCTAAGTCTTCTTACAAAAAGAGACGTTTTCAAGTACCACTTGCTCGCCCGCTTTAACTACAACATCTCCATTCGCAGTTGTGTTGTTCAACGTGTCCAATGATTCACCCCCTTTACGGATCCTGACGTTCTCATTGCCCTTCCAGTATAGCTTATAGGACTCCTTCTGCGCCAAGATGGTATGGTAGCTTGTGAAGGTGTAGTCCTCCTCCTTAGGCTCAGTCTATATTATGACTTAGTTAGCAAGCCGTGTAATCGTGTGACTGCGGTCGCGGCGGGACAGACCTCGTTCATCATTCCTAATCACCTCAAGGACGGATGTAGTTGATCGTGTCGATAAACAAAGACGCAGGTTGCTGAGATGGCAGGTGATGTATCTTGCGCCCGTCCAAAGCCGTTGTTTTATGGGCCCGTCTCGTAAGGCTTGCGGGTGTACGGACGTTGGGCACCCATGCTTGCTAATCGTTAGCAATCCAAGTAGGTAGTCAGGAGACACGGTAAAGACCAAAAGAATACACCGTCTTGATTGTCTGCTGCCGTCGTAGAAGGACGCAATACTTACTTTTCTTTCGGTTGCTGAAGGCTTTGGGGTCAAAAGAGACCTACTTTGCTGTTTTGCAAAATGAGGGGTCAGAATTGCCCCAGCCTTTATCCGTACTGAGGGGTTTGGCGGGAACGGGAGTATATATTATCCGGTCAAAGTTTCCGGCAGTCCCACTCTGGTCATTAGATGAGAAGAGGTTCATTTCGCATGGTGCCATAATTACAGGCCAGTCGGGTTCCAGGTCCATATCTGGATAAATCAGACCTGTGGCGCCTGTACTGGACCCACTTTAGTCAATTACTTCAGCCTATTGAAGAATGAAGGAAGGGAAAAACACCAGTCATCCAATCGACTCTTGAGACTCATGTTTGAAGAGACCTAGAGACCGAAAGGTCGCGAATGAGACGACGGCAGCGAGGGAATGAATGGCGAAAATGCTCGCGCCGAATACTGCGGTCTACTCTCTCCGCACAATTCTGCCATGATGGCAAGTTAAGGTGATTTGATGATTGGGTCTTTTAGTCAACGACCCGGCATGATCATGGAGGGATATTGGAGAGCACACGAACTGCTCGGACGGTGGCTTTGGCGACATGATAGGCGTGATAAACACATTCGCAGACAAAGCCGCCCCGAGTTCTCGACGCCATCCTCCAGCATAAAGAAGACACTGGTTCATCAACAACGGCAATCTTCGCAATCGACGTCTTACGCTCGGTAGATAGGACTTCGTGATGTTTGATATCAATAAAGAAAATATTGTCGAAAGGATCGTCGTACAATTATGAGTACAAGAAGTTCACGCAAAAGAAACCCTCAAAGTCAGTGGCTCAGGGTTTTGTAGACTGCTCGGCTAACATGTTGCATCGCATAATCATCTGAACAAATACCACGAGAATGATCTTATGGGGGTGACCGACTTGATGCCCTCCGTTCGCGAACTTGATGACCTGTCCAATGACCAACGCGATTTGTGCTCTTACATCGCCGGCATATTTGAGAACAGCAATAACGGGACCAAGGGTCGCGGCAAGGACCGAAGGTTGGCAGTGCGTGTTCTGAAGGCTGGGGGGAAATCTCCCCATCAACCTATTGTGCGATTCCCCAGCCTTGTCAGCTTGGCAGCATACACTTCGAAGAGAGCCTCAACGGAGCAGTAGCAGCGCTACTATCCACGGACTTACTACGATGTTGATGACAAAAACATGGCCTCGTACTCGAATGAAAGCAGCGACAAACACAGTGTGGCTTTCGCGAGCCCCCGTGACGTCCATTAGCAGTCATCTCACGCGATATACATACATGGGCCATGAATGCTTCCGCTTGTCAGCCGCGAAGACTGTCTGGCTGTGTTGTGTAGAAAATCTGGCGCATGCCCTGGATGTCTGGACCGGACCGCGGGAGGGCAAGACACAGATGCGTGGACTCGGAGCAGATATTGTTTCTACTTCAATGTACGTAATCCATGCCAAATTGAGACTCTTTGCTTCGCGCGATCAAGTGAACCGGTGGTTAACTGCGTTGTTGGCGCCAGTCCGTGCAGGGCATGGCGTCAGAATGAAAAGCGACCTCTCCTCCCCAGTGATGAGCGACGATGGCCCCAAAGACTCAGAGGGAGGGGCGTGTGCAGGGGATAACGTGTGAAGTGCACCTTAAGCACCCCGGGTCACACCCCCGCTCCGATAGCCGGGTGCTCCCTGCAGTGCTATCTCCGATGTAGCGAGCTGGAACGAACTAGAGCGACATCCATCGTTCTTGGCGTGCCGATTCGACGCCGCTTGGTGGTCGAAAGTCTTGGTTGAGTGATGCCTCCATGTTAGCTGAGACGATCGATCGTCATGTCGGATACTGTGCCCTATGCAGCTCACTATGTGCGGGCCAGTGGTCCGGTCTGAGAGTCCAAAGGGCTGATTACTCTCAGGTTCATGCAAGGGCCACCAGCGCTGTCACTACCTACTCCCCAAAAGTCTGTGCCTCGGGTTCGGATGGTCGTAGCTCGAACGGGTTTTGGACATCGGCGGTCCTCTTCACGCCCCTGCCTGGCGACACCCTGTGGCGTCGCTTGGGTATAAGATATCATGTCCCTTGAATGTGCTGAACTTGTGCCCACCCCCAGGGCCCCACCTAGTCCCTTCCCGCCAGGGGCACCAGACGGTACAAGCCGCAACGTCCGGGCCTAGATCAGAGGAAGCGGACGGACGAGTCAGCGCACTGTCGTCCACTAACCGGATCAGGATCTCGTTCGCGGGCCAATAACATCTGCCGCAGCCGACTTCATCGCCTCAATACGCAATAGACTGGACGGCGCTCCACGCGACGGGGGAGACGGATTCCGAAAGCTGATGGGTGACTGCCGATGCTCTTGGAGGCGCCGAGAGGTTTCGGGGCGTACAAGTTTCCGACACAGATAGGGAGTGAGCTGGGCCATTGTCCCATCACACAATTGTACACAGGATGGAGAAAACGGGCATGCTTCTTTTGTCAACTCGAGTGGTGCTCAGTCAAATCTGTGCTTTCCAGTGGCACAATAGCGCTGAGAGAGTCAGTGGTCTCATGGCAGGAGAGCACGTTGGTCTTGAGGGTCCATTGAAGCTTTTTCAGCATGCAAATATGTGACGAGTAGGTGCAACCCACGTTTATTCCTGGTTGATCTTTGAGCAGGGCAAGACTGTAGAAGCCGATCCGCAGTAGGGTTCTCAAGAAAAGGGACACTCGTATTGCTAATTCTTCAATAATGCCGCCGCCACCAGCATAAAGTTTAATCACCCCCGTTAGGACATGTTTCAGGACTTCAACCGCACCGCACTGGATGTAGGACCGGCCGTTCTCCGAGGACGGTTCCTGCCGGGCTTTATAAGACGTGACCGTTCCCAAGCTCTCCTGCCTTGGCAATGATCAACTACCTGAGCCATCCGTTGTGATTGACTCAACTACACGAACATCATGTCTGAAGCCACCTTTACTACAGAGAGCACCGTCGCTCCCGCGGCAACCGGGAACCTGGTCGACCTCCACTGCTGTGTGTTTGGTGTTGGCTATGGCGTTTCCACTCTCCTTGTTCTTTTGCGGCTTTACGACAAGCACCGTGTCCATCGTCTCGGGCTAGACGACAGTAAGTGATCACGCAACCAAAGGACGTCCTGCGGAAAAGCACAACTGACGAAGTACATCCAGTGTGGGTGATATTTTCCTGGGTAAGTAAGAGAAAGGGTTCAAACTCATGATACCAGAGACTCATTCCGGCACGTCAGGTCTTTTCCTCCGTTATGTAAATTCTGATGATAGGCAAGTACCTCAATGACAGACCGAAGGGGAAGGGCTAACAAGGTTGACGTAGTCGCGATATCCATGGGTACAATCAAGCTTTTGGCAGGATATCGAGCCATATGCCTCCTGGTAGCTGACTGAATCTGTGAACGTACTCTAGGTTGCTTCCATAGCGACAATCATTCATAAGGACCTCCGCGGAGGTCAATGGCCCAAGGACCAGATTGTCGCATCTGGAAGCCAGGATGCCATCCATATACACCTGCTCAACTGCCCGGAGCTCTCCATTAAGTTCTCATACGCGCCCCTATTGCGACTCGAGGGATGAAAGAGGCCGTTTGGGTTTGCAGTCGCACGCGGACTTGTTCCGCCATCGCGTTAGTCTCGATCTTACTGAGTCCCTTCTAAGCTCTCATTTCGGTAAAGATGATATATTCTCGTCCAAGATTCAGTAGCCAGCAGAGGTTTTCCCATGTAGTAGTCTAGCTGAGGCTTTCATGCCTTCACTCGGAATTTTGTTTGCGGCCTTCGGCCACATCTGGGTCTCTAAACGGTCAGAAAACCCGACCAACGACATCCTTGGCGCTCGCTCTGTGTGATTCGTTAGCGACAATTTCCTCGACTCCGAGACCGACCGCCATGGGATTAAGATCCTCAAGGAAATTTTGTGACAACCCATAGGGTACAGTAGTGCCAGCTCGGTTAGCTCGAGGCATCTAACTTTGCCTCGGCCAATCTCGCGGAACCCAGCGTAGAGCAGACTGTCTGGCTCGTCATGGCTACGGCCGAACGCGCAACCAATCCAATAGACTTCATTCTTCTCGATTTAGGGTCCTTCACCACGTAATATGTACTAGAGCTCCCTGTCAGGTTCGCTATCACTTGTGCCAGGCCTCTTATGCGCCGGTGCCATCGTCGTTGACGGTCCGTTAGGACACCAATTGCAACTTCATCAGGATAAGCGTGGTGAACATTGGCCGTCTCGAAGTTTCTGTGCGGGATGCTACACGAACGAGGACGTTACGAACATAACGAGGGGGTGTGTTACAAAAGCAGGTTTCTTGAGGGCCACGGTGGACCGTAAATAATATGGGTGCCTGGCAAAGAGAAGGGAGCGAGTCTTAGGGGCATTGGTTCTTAGCAAGGCATCCATGCCCAGCTACAGTGGCATAAACAGCAGGCTATGATTCCTGTTCCTTTTGGCTTGACGGGCGAGATTGCCTTCACGCGGTGTCTTGGAGGCGGGCGTCAGACGGGCCATTGAGGATATGGGTTCCCCGGAACATTGCTTTCGTTACCAATCATCGCTTCTGAAGCCGATCCGTCTCTCCGTATGAAGCAATCAAGCATACGTCTGTATAATTGGTACTTCGAGCTGGTGCAATCTTGCAGCTTACTGAGCTTCGTAATGCTCATCTACAAGCTGGAGATGCTGTAGCCTGAACGGCGCAAGGTCTGAGATCGAAGTTTAATATCCCATCACCCTGACATGCACCAAGTTTCGATAATCTTACTTGCCTCTCCCGTGAATATTTCACTCCCTCTGTACTAAGGGTCTACTGTGGCATCTATTTCCTTGCGCCTAATCCTTAATGCCTCTTTGTCAGGACGGGAAAGGGGGGAGGGAGGGACGTCGAGGCTAGGGTGCACGCTCATGAGCTCCTGCAGCTCCCTCCATGTCAGCTAGTGCGGTGGACAATATCAAGCGAGCACCGCCAAAACCCCCTGCTTCGCCTGACATCGATGTATTTGCCCTCTTGAAATCCCTTGCTCGCCTGACATTGACCATCGTGCCCCAGATCATATAATACCACCTTCCCATCAGCATTTGGCTTTGCCCCGTTCTCTTGACTAGGTAGACGTTTATTGGCGATCTTACGTTCGAGAGATGGAGTGCTCTGTTCGTTCATCTTCCAGATTGCAAGGCGCAGCAAGGGACAACAGTCAACCGCCGCACATTCGTGGCTCACCAACGCGTCTTTGAGATGTGGCTCATCATCGCCAATTTTCATCAGAGCTGAAGCCTGTAGGTCCACCCACCGCCAAGCTTCTCGGAACGAAACCTCCATACAGCCACTGAATATACCTGATTTATATCAAGAAGAATCAAGTCCGTACGTGCTGAATATTTCCTTCATTTACTATGAAAGCCTCCGCCCCACTTTCTCGCCTCCTCCGCCATCAATCGCTAGCCGTGATTCCCTCGCTGCACACATTCCGAAAGCGTCTCAAATACTTCTGGACCTGGGCGACAAACGGTGTGGTGATCTTGCGCCGAGTTTATAAGAAAACGAGGTCCCAGTTCAGGCCTCCCAAGATAGCTAGCCCGGAAATGCCACCTCCCTCACTACAACGCTAGAGATTGGCTTGCATAACGGAGTCCCAGATTTCGCTTCAGCCGCGGCCCGGCCAGTTGACTTCTGCCGCCGTAGTATGCCCCAATGATATCCAAGGCGAACACAACTCGTCTCCGGGAGTCAGCGAGAACTCAAGTGTGTCGCCTGAACCAGATGAGACATATGGAGGTGAGCATGAGCCCCTTTCCCAACGGCGAACGCCTTCTCACATTTACGCGGCCCCCTACGTGACAGATAACGATTGTTGCCAATCATGAGCTTCTTTGTCGTTCGGCCATTTGGCCGCATGGTCGCTCATGATCGAGTCTGCCATCGAGAACTGTTGGCGACCGCGAGGAATGGTGGAGAAAGGTCAATATGTTCTTCTGTGAGGGGAAGCTAAGTATATGTTAATCCGACTCTATTTACATCATTCCATCCAATTGAGAGATTCACGAAATAGCAGAGTGGGAGAAACCTGGGGACCATATGCTGTTGCCATTGATGGGACAACGAGATGGCGGCGGTACAGGGCGCGGCTAAAGACCCTTAGCATCTTTAGCAGAATGCCATCCTGCATGGCGTTAGATGAGTGTCCGCATAGTCACTGTAGAGTCTACCCTGGAAAGTCGAAATGCCCTCAGGCCTCCTACTTTTGTCATGCAGCCAGGTAAGCTATCCCATCAACTGCTGGATGATTGTGGTACATGTGTACGTACCGCTACTGAGGGGTAATCACCAGCTGTCCATTGTTCCTCGAAGTCGAGATATTGCCGCCTTATTTCCCTCCAATGCGCCCAATCGCATTGATCCCAAAAAATCATTGTTAGAAAAAGGGGAGATTCATGTACTGACATCATCCAGCAGTTGATGAAAGCAACCTACGACTGACACCAACCTCCAGCTCATAGGATAAAACTCGTGGCGAACGTTAGCAGCGTGAATACATCAGAGCTATGTATATACTCGACGACGGATGGTGGTCTTAAGTTTGTCTGAGTAGTGATCTTCAACGACATGCCACAGTCAGCGAAGGAACTGAGCATGGTTCTCGTCGTTCATTGCCCGGCGCAGAAGCCATCTCAAATAGACGTAAGAGGGCGGGGGAGGGGTCTCGTAAGGGTGAAGGATCCGGTCACCGCTCCGCAAACAGATTTGATATCCCATGGACTTGGATTGATCATGGATGGACTCGACTCAGTGCCAGACAATCTTGCGCGGGTTGTGGCGAGATACAAACAACGAGGCCATTAAGGGTGACTGTAAGCTCGGACGATGAAGAGCTTACTCGATAACCTTGAGATCTTGAGGTTTATCTCATAACATAGTGTTCAGCAGCGTAGAGTAGATGCTGCATAACTGTGACTGTTCGGCATGTAATCGTATGGGTTTTGTTTCTGGCCCATCAACTTCAAAGGGGCGGGAGCACAGACATGACGAGAATGCCAACCGCCCGCCCGAGCGTGGGGATAGGCACATGTGGACCTTCTTAACTCATACCCGACCACCCTACCCCGCCGGCGGTGCCCAGTGATAAGACACGGGCCAATCATATGAAACCACGTTATCGGACTCTTGACTAATTGGACCTCGAAGAGCATTGACGCTGTCAATCCTGTTCAGAACGAGAATCATAAGATTTTCAGGCAGGCCAGCGCCCTGGATGACGCTAGCGGCTAAGCATCCTGGCACCAACTGGAAGGAGTTTGAACAGGAAGGGTTCCGGAGAATGCAGGCTTAAGCATAGAAGCAAGGAGGGGTAAAGGTGGGGTAGGTATGAAGCGTCTGAGCATCTATTCATTCCGTCAAACACATGGTCCGGGTAAAGCTGAGTAGTGCTGGCCTCTCTACATACTTGACAGCTTTTGCAGAGGTCTTCGCCTTTAACTCTCCAACAGACTTCTCGTGACCGCTTTCTGAGGATTCATTGATGTTACCCGACCAGCACCATGTCCGACAAAAAGTCCCAAACGCCTCGTGTGTTCATCATGAGACATGGTAAGCCATATTTCTGCCAACTGAACACAGTTCTGTAACTCATCCAGCTACAGGAGAGACGGAATGGTCCCGAGCTCGCCGCCTCACTGGGAGCACAGAAATTGATCTCAACGAGGAGGGAGAACAGCAGGTTGCCGCTATGGCGAAAGCTTACGCGGGCGCAGGCAAAACCATCGACCCAAATCGCCTTGGGCTGGTTGTGGTTAGTCCAAGAAAGAGAGCGCGGCGTACTTTAGATCTCTTTCTACCGATGTCCGATGACGGCAATCAGAAGCCAGAGGTTGTCGTAGACGATAACGTAGCGGAGCGGGACCATGGCGACTATGAGGGACTTCCCAAGGAAGAAATTCAAGAAAAAAGATGGGCAATGGGATTGGACGAGGGCACCAAATGGAACATCTGGCGTGACGGATGTGCGGGCGGAGAGTACGTCATGATTTGCTACGCTGTGTTTGGCACGTGGAGGCTAATACCCTGACGATCTGTAGGTCGAATCAGCAGGTTACCGAGCGAGTGGACAGAGTCATTTCTCAGATCCGTGACAAACAAAGCACTTATATGAATGGCGAAAAGCCTGCTGATGTTCTTGTTGTATGTTTTCGCCCCGTGGAGAGCGGGTCATCTCTTTACTGCTCCTCTCCTGTCCCTTCATGTTCGTGGCTAAGAGCTGGTATTTTGTAGGTCTCGCATGGCAGTATCTTGGCCGTTTTTGCGGCACGCTGGGACGGAACGGACGCTACACACGGCCGCCGTTACTTCCTCCCCCCGGCGGGAATAGCCCGTTTGAAGTGAGCTGGTTTCAACAACACCATGACCCTCGTATTGTGACACTGATCTTTTCCGTAGGTACAAAGACAAATGCACCGACCAAGCTTGTTTTACCAAGCTGTCTTCGCCATCGATGGAAGATGGTTCGGTTACCATATCAGAGAAATCGTCTCCGGCCGATGGGATCAAAGATTTAGGACAATCGAAGAACTCCGAAATGGTCTGAATCTAGTTCAATTGCTATCTTATGTGGTTCGACGCATGTCCTGCCGTAGTCTTGCGCAGTTACACTATTTCCCAACTACCATCGTAATCAAAATCAAAAATTTCCGGAAACTGGCCGGACGACTTGAGGATCGCCTTGGTTTGTTCGTCCGCATGTTGGGCGATGACAGGAAGCAGCTCGAGCTCCCTCAAGCAATCACCATCGCACTTTTCAACGAAAATACGTAGAATCTCGTGCTTGTTGCGGATTATCGCCGTATGCAGTGCCGCCCGACCTTCCGGATTGCGTGTGTTGATTGTGGCGCCATGTTCTAGGAGTAAGTCGACCATCTCTGTCAAACCGCCAAAGCTGGCCGACGTCAGCGGGCTACTGCGATGCCAGCCCTCCGGAATTTTAGGGTTGGGATTCGCGCCGGCTTTCAAGACCATTTCAAGAGCTGCGTGGTTGTGGCTGTCAACTGCGTGCAAGACTGTGGTGCGACCACTGCGATCCATGGAGTCTACGTTTGAGCTACCAATGAGGAGCCTCATAACATCCAGCTGCGCCCTGGCTGTGGCCCAGTCTAAAACCGTACGCCCCTTCGCGTCCTTTTCGAAGACGGCGTTCGGGTTGCTCTTGAGCTCGTTGACCAGTGAGATCCTGAAATCTGGACCTCCTGCCAACAAGATCCTGTGGATCTGTGGAAAGTTTTGGACATCAAACCAGTCTCGAGTTCCTTTACTCCAGATGGGTTTTAGAGCTACTTCCTCTTCCGATTTGCATCTTTTGCGGTGTATAAAGTCATTCACGTGGTCATACGATCTGTACACGTGTCAGTCGTCGGTCATACGACCTGTGATCATTGCCACCGTCCCACTCACTCGTCGTCGACTGGTGCCCCTTCTTGCAACAAGTATTGCACTGTTGCATACTGGTTCAGTCCACCATAGAGCGCCCACTCATGAGATGTCAGCGAATCGCGTGCGTTACGACAAGTCTCGGAAGGAAAAGCAAATAGCGCAGCATACCCTCACCAAGCTAAACCCTCGGGTTGCGCTCATGTCGCCGGGTTGCGCAAGCCCTTGAGAAAACAATTCCCTTAGGCCGGAAATATTGCCGTTCATTGCATATGTAACAGACAAAGCTGTGTCTGGAACTACATTTTGGACGGCGAGCGGCCGCTGGGGCCCTGACTCATAGATGTAAGGTGTCGAGTTCTGCTCGCCGCCAATAGCGCCGTTGATAAACCACTGGCGAGGCCCAGAGTACTCGCAGGAAGGTACGATCGGATATGCCGTGTGGTGCTGCTCAGTGTTCACTGGAACCCCCCGGTACGACCTGTTGGCCTCAACCAGGACGACCGCGTCAGATACTGGCTCCATGGAAGGTAGTTCAGCAGAACTACCCACAAGCTCCTCATCGCTTGTAACGAGGGTTGGCGGGTTGATGAGCTCCAGCGGGGGGGCCGCGAACGAACCATTGGGGTCTCCGCTGCCTCGCGCAGGTGATGGATGGCGTTCCCCTGCAGGAGGAGCCAGAGGGCGGTAAGCTGAAATCTCAGAGTGACCTTGATTTGGAAGACGGATAGTGTCGTCAACGTGCTGCAGTCCATCGTCTGCCATCGTCAGCGGGATTGTGGCTTGTTCAATGTTCGCAATGCGTGCGGGTGGGTTTTTTCGTTTGCGTTTGCGGCTAGGTGGTGATTCCTGACTGTCTATACAGGCACGAGCTTGCGTTTCGTACGCCGTAAGTAGTTTATCAACTTGCGTTCCGCACCTCTCTATGTTCTCCCGATTGACTGAGTCGGAAATGGCTTCAGGGGATACGTTCTCGAAACCTTTTGCCTTCGTTAAGCTGAAGAATTAGTGAAGGAGCGAGCTCTAACTTGGAGGGTGAGCTTACGTCGTCCAAGGTATCGAGAGGCCGCAGATTAGTGCTCCAGAACCTCCCACAACCGCCGAAAATGACTTTAACCGGTCCCCTGCAATCGCCAAGTTACCGCAATCACGTCGAAATCTGGCCTCGTCTGCGGGCTGCTTCTTGTTGAGGATGTAATTAACCAACGCACCCCGGCCACAACTGGACTCAAACGTTTCTCGCAATTCGCCAAATGCGACAAGCCACACGTTTCTTTTGGCATTCCTGAGCTGAGGAGGGTCAGATTGGTTTTCTTGAGTGAGGTGGTCGTAGAGATGGATTGCAAAATCGAGGGCAGGCTGGCTGCGGATCTGTTGCTGCACCCATGCCTCAGGCTCTAGTTCTGCATTGATGTGCGAGGAGAGTGTGCGCTCGACTGCATCGGTTACGCAACACGGGAGATGATCCCAACACAATTGAATTTGCTCCAGAAAAACGCTTGGAGCGACAAGAAACTGGGGAGAATGAGCGAATTTCCGGCGCGGGCGAGAATGGATGTACCTTTGCGTCTGACAGTCGATCGCTGGGAATCTTCCCACTGGGGTCTTGAGATACGTGATGGAGCGCATCTGCAAATTGACGACTTCCCGCGTTTCCCATGGTGCGGGCGTCTGCTATAGACAGTTGTTCCGAGGCTGTGGCGGAAGCAGCGTTGGTTGCGCAAGGTTTTGTGTGTAGGCTTCGTAGAGGTTGTTGGCTGAAGAAAGGAGGATGGCCATGGACGGAGGACAATGTCTGGCGAACAGGGGTTTTTGAGTGAGCTCGCCGGACAATGTCTGGCGAACAGGGGTTTTTGAGTGAGCTCGCTGGACATTGTCTTCTGGGGGGTGGAGGATGGTGGCAGGCCGCTAGCTGGTGTCAAAAAGTTTGCGAGCCAATCTCGGGCGCATACCGCGGCAGGCGTGCACCCCGACCAAGCGCCCTCCAGATGTACCGCACGCCGTCACATCGCTCAATGGTGGGGACCAGTGTCAGCTCCTCCGCACCCCCACACCCACAAAAGAGATCCCAGGGTACATCAATGTACGCAGCAAACGTGCCCACTCCTCTTCCCACACTCACGCCCTGCTCCATTATGATCGCCCCTGGGGATGGGGTGGGCCATCGGTTCGGGGCGATATCAGCGACACCCTGCTTCCACATGGGCTCGAGAAACGTGCTCTGTCCTATGTATGTGCCTACTGGAGGGCTCCGTGACGTCTCCTCCGCACACCCCTGAACGGCAAACACGGAGGTGCCAGTGCATGAACCTGCCACTGTCAGGATCCGGGGTGGTGGACCGTGCCACCTGCATGGTGTTCTATCTGCAGTGGGCAACTAGCGTATCCCAATCCTTCCTGACACCTTCTTTTGACCTCCTACGGTGTATTGTTTACTAAACGTCTCGGACCCTTAGTCCTGTCGTTGGCAAGGATTCGCCGGGGATGGAAACCTCCTTTCTCGGTCGTCTCTGCGTTGGTGCACGTCACCATGCCGCGCCATTCTTCCATCTGATCGACAGAGTTGATGAAGCAAAGCCATATAGGAACGCATCAGGATTGCGCGCAGGAAAAGCCCTCACTCGGAATGCAATTAACTCCAGAAGCAGCACGGTTCCGTACCCACACACAATCAAGCAGCAAAGCCGTGTGATTTGATCATGCCTTCGCATTCCCACGTCCACAGTGTAAGTTCCATCAATTGTGCTACTCGCGTTGAGGACAACGCCGGTTTTCTGTGACTCAAACGCAAGACAAATTCCCGTCTTTCGGTGGGAGTCTTGCAAACTTCCCGACAGGGAACTTTCGGGCCCAGCCCGCCGACCCCCGCGATGGGCCCAGGAGCAGATCGCCCAACTGCACCGGGGCCTCTTTGAATGGCCCCACGGTCGTTTGAGGGCCGCCATCTTGCTCTATTGCTTGCCCGCGCGGCGACCTGCAGCAAATCCCCTTGCACAAGCACAGCATTCCACCCTTCTATCCGCCGCGCATATTCTACCCGAGACAGAAGGTCCAGCCCGGGCGATCTTCCAGCGCACCAGCTCCACCACCTCTCACCCAGCAAAGCATCAGTAGAGCTACGCGGTTGATACCTTGCGAGTCGTCTTATAAGTATGGGGAGTAATTACTCGGCCGCCAAAGATCAAACAGGACATCATTGACAAGTCAAACAGCCAGGAGGCAGCACGCGGCAGTCAGCCTGGATGTCTTTCCTTCACAAACTCGCTTTTCTACTTCTCATCGGTCTAAATGGGCTGCCGTTTTTTGTACCTGGGTTGGCACAGAAGCTCGCTTGGAACCAGGATAGCTCGATCGTACTCAATGCGATACTGTTACAGATTATCGACGACTCTCAAGAATGGCTCATTTGCAAACTCAAGCCAGTGTTACAAAAATTTGTCTTCGAAATCCGATCTGAGGACGAAATCGATTCTACAAATCGAATCACGAAATGTTGTTGTTGTTGTTGTATTTAACGCCGTGGCGGCCGGGCTAGAGCCCTTACCGCAGACCTCCCGAAGGGTATATGGCGTGGAGGGCCGTGAGCCAAGGCTACCTACTCTACAGTACGTCGTCTCTTTACATCGTCCTCCAAATCATGCCTTGTGGCCACTACGCGTTCTGTCTGTCCCCGGTTCCCGCTGGTGCCCCAGTTTCATTCTTTCCCAAATCGTCCCTTGGAATCGGGAGGTTCTTTGTAGTCCGCACTCACATCTACGTAGGTGTGGATGCTGCTACCGCAGACAGATCTTCTGGAAGAAGTCCGTCACGCGGAGAAAGGCCTCGAAGCCTCGTGGGTCGGTGATTAATCTCTTGAAGTAGGCCTCGAGAGATCCCATAGGGCCTATGGGCTCGGGCATACTGCGAGAGTGGAGGGTCGGCCACCGTTGCCTCCTCGCCAGCGTTAGTCGACAGTAGACCAGGTGGTCCACGTCTTTCGCCTCTCCACAAGAGCACATCATTAGAGCGTCGTCGTGGTTGAAACGTCGGTGATATTGCTCGAAGTCCCCGTGACCCGATCGTGCCGCCAGCAGGTGATGTAACGTAGCCCGCGGCAAGGCCAGTTCAGGAGGGCTGGACAGAGCTGCCTCAAGCCCCAAGTCCGCGTACCGCGGCCTTCGCTCTTTATACCACCATCTCCTGTGCTGGCTTTGTAATTTTTCCCTTGCAAGCCGCTTGATGCCCGCTAGTGTTGCCATTTGACCCATCCGCGCCGGCAGTGTCGTTCCTTCTTTGGCCAGCCGGTCCGCGGCCTCGTTTCCTTCGATGCCCTGGTGTCCCGGGGACCAGTGCGTCCGTATATCAAATATCCTGGCCGCTTCTTGGATTTCGAGGAACGCGTCTTGTGACGAGTCCGGCGCCTTGCCGCGGATGCCTTGTATAACGCTGGTGTTGTCGATACATATGTGGATTGGATGACCGCGATTGGTGAGCAGAGCCCTTCTGAGGCCGGTTCGCGCCCCTTCGACCTCGGCGTCGAACACTTCTGCTAGTCCGAGTCGGCCGCACCCTTGTGCTATGCGTTTGGAGTCTCGGTAGATGACGAAGCCGTACCCCACGGCTCCGTTCGTCGCCCTGGAGCCGTCCGAGAAGACGATCATATGGCTTTCCGGTACTGTCTTTAGCCAGCGCTCGAAAGCTTTCGCAGCCTCTTCTTTGCATTGAACTACTATCTGATCCTGTGAGCTTGGCAGGTACTGTGATTGAAGGAACGCTGGTCTTCCGCATCTTGGCAGAAGTTCAGCCGTCCGTTGTAGTCTCGTCTGTTGCTGTCCCTGCTGGGAGAGCCGCGCGACTAGCGGGTGTCGGCGATCAATCCTCTGTAGTCGGACTGCGGCCCGTAAGCGGACGCCCTCTAAGGCGACTTTGGCTGACGGTAAGCCGGCGTCTCGGAGGAGGCTACTGGTTGGCGTTGTCCTCCAGACAGGCAGAACGGCCCTTGCTGCCGCTGTAATGACGCTGTCGATCTTCTGCACGAGCCCCTTTTGGCCTGTGTTGACGGGTCTTCCTTGGAGAGGCGGATTCGTGTCTGTCTCCGCTTGGCGTCTCGAAGCCGGCTTCGTGATACCTGCGTACCATGTTTCGGCGCCGAAGAGCGCGATCGGCAGTACGCAGGAGACGACGGCTTTTCGCACGGCGGCCGCTGGGAGTCCCCTCTTTGTGTTCGTAAGCTGTCTCAGATGTTGAGCTGCCCTCTTTGCTGCAGCTACTTTTGCGTCGACATGGTGCCGGAAGGACAGTCTCTTGTCGAACCAGACACCCAGCCAGCGTACAGGTTTCGTCGAGGCCTTGACCACCAAATCCCCCGCCCGGACCTCTGGCAGCTCCGCTGGCTGGCCGTGCTTCCTAGTAAAGTGGATGACCTCGCACTTGCTCGGGTCAAAGGAGACCTTGTTCTCCAAGCCCCATCTGAGAATGCCGGCTGCGCTTCGGTTGAGTATTGCGACGTTGCTCTCCAGGGAGGGGCTGATGGCCAGAGTGGCGATGTCGTCCGCGTACCCGAATCGCGCGTTCGGGTCGTCTTCAAGTATCTCTGCGATGTAGAGCAGAAAGGCAATGGGAGATAGTGGTGACCCCTGAGGCAGCCCGCATGACAGCGGGAAGTACTCCGTTGTGCTTTCTTCCAGTCGGACTCTAGCGGTGCGGTTGCAGCAGAAGCTAAAGATCAGTCTGGTCAGGCCATGTGGCCATCCCTGCTGACGCAGTCTAATGACGAGCCGGTTCCGAAGGACGGAGTCGAACGCCCCTTTTACGTCCATAGTCAGAAGTGTCGCCGTGAGTCCTTTTAGGAGGGCCATCTCGATGTCGTGGGTGAGGCAGGTCGTCAGATCGACGGCTGACCTGCCTTGTAGAGCCCCGATCTGTTGCGGACTGATGATGCGCTCGACAATCGCCAGGGACGCCATCCTTCTGGCTATCAGTCGCTCTAGTCCCTTGCCCAGGCACGAGAGGAGCGCGATCGGCCGCCAGGACCCGGGCTTGGAGGCATCCCTGCCGGCCTTCTGGATCATGACCACCTCAGCTCTGCGGAAGGGCAGAGGAAAGTGGCCGGCCCGCATACAGGACTGGAATAGCTGCCTGACCGGTTCCGAGATGACATCCCAGCATGCCTGGAGGAGGCGTGTTGTGATGCCGTCCACACCAGGGGTCGTTGTCTTTGTTAAGGTGGCCGTCTTCACTTCTTCTCCGCTAACATTGTCCTGCCAAGTAATCGCTCGCCTCGGGACGACGGGTACGTCAAACGGGTCACCCGGTGCGTCATCTTCCGCACTAAACCTGTCGAGAAGGGCTCCCCGAAGCGCTTGAGCCTTTTCGTTAGTATCCTCGATCGTCTGGTTGTCCACAACCAATGGGGGTGCTCTGGTCAGTAGGCTCGCCTTCCGCCAACCCATGATCTGGTACAGGTCCCGGTCTGAAGCGACTCCATCGATCTTTCCGGCCCAGTATGCTCGCTTAGCCTTCCTCACCGTGCTCAGGAACGCCTTTCGTTTCTCCATTAGATAAAGGTGCGCATCTTGCTCCGTCTCCCAGGCTTGTTGGTTGCGGGCAGCACGGTATGCTCTGTGGGCCTCTGCGCATTCCTCCGTCCACCAAGCCGCGCCTTTACCATGTTTTCCTCTCTTCTTGCCGACCGCCTCAATGGCTCGGGAGAAGAGCTCGACGATGTGACTTGCCTGCCCGTCCAGGTCTTCCGGAGTAGGTTGATCCCCCAGATTGGGCATCGCAGCTAGCCCCCCTTCGATCAGGTCTCTCAGCCGAGGCAGCGCCGAGTCGGGCACTGACAGTGGCCGTGGCTGCGGGTGGCCCTCTCCCTGTGACACTGGGCGTTTGAGTAGTGGT